CAAATTAAAAAACTTATTAATGGGAGTATTGTTAAATATTTTAAAAGAGGTATATATTTTAGTTATTATATATTATTATCATTTAATTGTTACTTTTGTTTCATATTGTTTCTTTGTGTTTCTTTTTGTTGCTATTTTTTTTTTTGTTTTTTTATGTTTCTTGTTGTTTTCATACATCAAGATTTATCATATACGTGTTTGTATATATATCTATATATATGAGTTTTCATTCCAAATAAGTAACACATTATACGTATAAATCGAAGTAACAACAAAAATAAAAATTCAATAGTAAAAAATAAGATGCAACAAAATGCAACATAATACAACAAAATGCAACATGATGCAACAAAAGACAACATATTCATTGCAACAAAGAGAAACAACACAATATATTTTACATGCGAAAAAACCAGTTTGCATTAGGGTGGAATAAGGCCGGGTGATCAACCAGTGAAGATATTTCAACTATAGCACTATGAGCAAAAATGGCTCCTCAATAAGAGGAAAGCAGCACAGATATCCAAGAACATGACTTGTGGTCCGTGCACCTTTTGCAGATCCAGGAGGTAAATCAATCTATCGATCTATGAATAACGAATGAAGCGTAAATTTTACTACTCTCAATCTTTGGAAAATTATATGCAACATTAAAAACAGTGAACTCAACATACCACATATGCAGAAACACGCCGCTTCGTGATTCTAGACCAAACAACGGGATCAAGCAACATCCAAAAATTGCAGTTGGCTGGTGGTTCCTAACTCAATAATGATGCTTACAAGAGGACAATACAAATTGAAAATTGCACTACTAACTTTCAAGCATAGATGTTGTTGATTTTTCACAATATCAATGAAGAATACAGAAGCTAAATATTAAGAAACGTTCTGTTCAAAATTCTATAGTTTTGAATGCATTGAAACCTTGTGAAAAACAAAAAAAAGATATTGAAATATCCTTATTATCATGTGTACCAAAGCAAGTATACGTTAGAGTTTGGAGTTCAACAATATTTTTTATTTCCTAAAACATACATGATTTCCCTATTACTCCAGTAGTTATCTTAGTTTAGTAAAATACATAAAATCCCCTGATACTCGCAAAGACCACCAACACAAGGTTGTAACTTTTTGCGGTCTGACCGTCTAATGCGTACTGATCTAACTATATATAGAAAACACTCTGGAAAACATTTAATCTTTTTAACTCTTTGATAAAATCTTTTGAGATTGATAACCTCAACACAACGGTTTCGGTTTGACCAACAAAATTTATCCCTCTTAAGTTTATTAACCACAACCGTGCATTAATAAACCGAAGTTACTTACTTGTGAAACCATCAACGATTAACCTTCGATTCGTTGATCGTTTCTAGTAATAATTAATGTCGAAGCGTTAACTAATCGTTACTTAGCAACACCCCAACATTAATATAGAATGAGATTAAGCGAAGAATTAATAATCAAGAGAAGAAGTTAAGAAAACAACTCACCACTTTAATAATCAACAAGCTTCATGAGCAAAACCAATAAATGGAAGTTTAGCTCCTCATTTGGAGACTAAAATGCTAGAAAAATATAAAGAAATGCTATTCTAAATTGAGCTTAAGAGTATGGAAGAACGAATGATTATTTGTGAAGGAAAAGTGTGCTATTTATAGGTGTTTTTCAACACCTTTGGCCGGGTACTCGACCGGGTATAGTGCCCATCCGGTCAAAATCAAATATTTCCCACGTTAGTGTGTTCTTCGGCACTTTCGATTGTCTCTGGTCAAGTCTCACCCGACCGGGTGAAGTGGTGGACCCGACCGGGTGAAGTAGTTTCCTGAGCATCTTCGGATTTCAAGTCATGCTCAACCGGGTGAAGGGTTCTATCCGGTTAGGTTTTTGCTTCTGGGCAGTCAAATATATATTTTTCTTCACTTCAAAGTCCTCTTTCTCAACATTACAAATCCTAAATCTACCTTACAACTTACAACTGAAAGCTAAAATACAATTACAATTAAAATCACACAAATGTTTAAAAACTAAATAATAACGGTAAACAATCCACATAAAACTAAAATAAAAACATATATTTATGCACTACTAACTAGTGCATATCAGGGCAACAGGTACCGCAATGACAGGGACAACTGGTGCCGCGGCGATGGGCTAATAGCTATAGCTTTTAGAAAATGAATAAAAAGCTAGGGTTTTATAATATCAATCGAAGTGCATATTATGATAAAAAGAAATGTAAGAGCAAATTAGTCCTTAAAAATATTTATTTATTTATTACATATTATGAATTTAAATACGGAGTATTATTTTGGAAAAATGGATGAGTTTTGGTCATTAATTTTCTCTTAAAATAATTAATAATAGGAACAATTATCCTCGTTTTCTTATTTAATTTTGTTTCTCCTATGCATATAATTGAGTTATTTGAATTCTCAATTATAAATTACGTACGAATTACTAAAGCCATACATTTGGTTTTAAAGTATGTATTTAATTATTCAATTATAATTTTTATTTGTTAATGTGTATATATGTATATTTCAAAAAAATAGATTAGCTACTCAAATTTTAAGAATAATTGCACTGTTCTAAAATGTTTAAAATTATGAGATGTTACTAAAGTAGCTACCGTAAATGTTAACGGAAAATTTTAACGGAAAGACTCGATTAGTAGGGGTGGGAAAAACCGAACCGAAACCCGGAAACCGACCCTGGACCGACCCGAATTATGATCCCGGTCCGGGTTTTTTCTTTTTAACCGGCCCGAATTAAAAAAAAACCCGGACCGAACTGAAAATTCCGGGCTCATTAACGGGCCTTAAAATCTATAACCCGGCCCGGACAGAAAAAACCTGAAACAATTAGTTTTAATATAAAATTAATATAGTATATGAATATAAATAAAATATTTCCTAATATATGATTATAATCACGGTGGATAAAAAAAGATTTAGTAACTTTTAGTGACTACAAATATGTTGAATTTGTTTAGCGTAATGATGACCATGAGAATATATTTATAGCAACTTTAGTAACTTTTTGATTTATAAAATTCATTTCGTAATATTTTTAAGGTATATATATATATATATATATATATATATATATATATATATGTATATATATATAGATTTTGGTTCAGGTGAGAAATGCATCTAATGTGAGAAATGAGAATGAATCTCAGCCATTGGATTTACGAAGTTGCACTAAAATTGGCTTTATGTTGCAGTAATATTTAAATTTTGCACATGTTGCACTAATATTTGACGGCGTTGCACCGAAATAGCTTCATGTTGCACTAGACACGTGTAATACGGATTTTTCAGAAGTATTTACAGAAATGCCACCGTGCTAGATTGCATATTTCAGTGCATCATGAAGTGTCTTTTACTGCAACTTAGTCGAATCCAATGGCTGAGATTCATTCTCATTTCTCACCCAAAGGGTTCTTCTCACTTGAACCTTACCCTATATATATATATATATATATATATATATATATATATATATATATATATATATATATATATATATATATCATCTTACATAAAATATTAAGATAATTATCTTCTTTAAATTTGAATTGTTGGTGATTTTGGAGACTAATATTTGTGTTATTATTTGCGGTTTGTATTTTTGATTAATTTTATTTGAAAATAAGTGTTAAAATATAAAAGAACAATGACAAATTTCACGTCCGGGCTTTAACCGGTCCAACCCGAACCCGGACCGAACCCGGGCTACCAAAAACCCGACTAGGACCGAATATAATGAGCTTTGTTCCGGTCCCTAATTTTCATAACCCGAGACCTTCCGGGTAATTTCCGGGTTTAGCAAAAACCCGACCCAGACCGGACCGATACCACCCCTATCGATTAGTATAGATTAAATAGATTAAGGACTAAAATGATATATTTATTAGTTCAAGGACCAAAATGATATGGTGATGATAGTTCAAGGACTATTTATGCATTTTACTCCGTACTATTTATTTACTATTTATTCAGGTAGGAATCACATTTGCTTATAGATAAATAAGAACACATTTAATTTTTTTGTGCTTCTTCATTTCAATATTCTTTTTTTGTGCGTCTGATTAGTGCTTCTTTGCTTCTTTCTTTCAATTTTCTTTTGAGGCAAGAGTCAGATTGATACTCGAAATTGCATAAAAATGGTCAAATAAGTTCTTATATCAGAGGCTTTGTCCGGCCGTCGCCATTTGGGATGGTTCCTGGTAGAATTTTTAACGAAATTTTTTGAGCATCTTATTCATTAAGTCTAGTTTACTCATACTAAATTTCAACTAAAAATTCAACCGGGAAGACATTCAAATGAATTCTTGAAGATAACTACGCAGTTAAAAGCGCAGTTATCTTCAAGAATTCATTTGAATGCCTTTCTGGTTGAAGTTTTAACTGAAATTTGGTATGAGTAAACTAGACTTAATGAATAAAATGCTCAAAAAATTTCATCAAAAAATTACACCGGGAACCGCCTCAAATGGCGACGGCTGGACAGTAAGGACTTTTTTTTACCCTTTTTATGCAACTTCAAGTACCAATCCGACCCTTACCTCATTTTCTTCTTTTTTGTGCATTCCAAATAATTTAGATATGTCCATAATTAAATACTATCTTTTGTTTTTAGTTGCAACATGTTGAATTTACACTGTTCACTTGCTCTAATTTGTCTATGTTTCTATTTGTTAATTCATGTGATAATTTAAAAATATTGTTCAATTTGGCTCATTACAAATTTTCAATTTTTTTTTTAATTTTTTTCCTAATTGAGTAAAGGTATATTTACAATTGTATTGGCAAGTGTGCAAGTTTGGCTAGTTCAACTAAAAAAGCGGAGAAAATATAATATGTTTTGAGAGCATTCAAGTTTTGTTTTTGAATAAATGATTAAAATGATTTTAAAGAGTATATGGGAGCAATATAAGGAAGGAATTTATTCTAGAAGATTTTGCATATATGTCCTATATTGAACATTTTGAAAGTATTACTATTGAATAAGTCCCAAGGTTGTTACCTTGTTTTTAGGATTTAATTCCTTTACAGTGGTTATGGTTATTTATTTAAGCGGCACTTCCTCTTGCCGCCGCTGGCCGGAGACCGGAATTTCAGGGACGCAACAAGTTCCCCTGGCTTGCCGATTTTAGGGGGAAACAAAACAAGTCTTTTCAAAGAGAAATGGAAAACACCGCTTTTGATTCGAGTTTCCACCGCACTTTGAAATACTTACTAGCTACGCAATTTCTGTCAAGGGGAATCCCGTTCGTATTCAATTCCTGGATTGTTAGACATCTATCAGAAGAAGATTATGTGGTTTGTGCTGTACAATTCCATCTGTTTGTGACCTGCATATTGTTTATGAGTAGAGAGGGATTCAGGCGAGTGTGCATGAGGGAAGATATTATGTGGGATGGTAGTTTAGCAGCAGGAGAAACTGAAGCCCAGGTTTTGAAAATCGCCTGGATGACCTTCCCATTAGGGGTACTGGTCACATTTTTTGCTTGTTTGATTGTATTCTGGTGGCAAGGTCTGGGTTATTCCAGTCCTTATGGTCGAGCTATATTGATTAATGGTTTTGCCTGCATTCTTGAGCTACTGGCAGAACCCTTTTTTATTTTGGCCCAAAAATTGGCTCTTCTCAAACTGCGGCTGATTGTTGAAACTGCTGCCACTCTTTCACGTTGTATAGTAACATATGCTCTCATCCTGAAGCAACCGAGCTCGGAGAAAGCGTTTGTATTTTCAATGTCACAGGTTGCGTATGGAGCATCTATTTTCATAGGCTACTGGGCTTACTTTCTTCTGTGCCAATTATACACAACTCGTGTTCTATTTCCGTTCCGGATGGGAAATACAAAAAACTATGATCAACTGCTTGTGAACATGTGCATGATGCTTAATCTTCAATCCGTTCAGAAGTTGATTCTTCAGGAAGGTGAAAGGATGGCCCTTGTATGGTTTGATACACCATATAACCAATCAGTATATGGACTTGTAGACAAACTAGGGAGCCTAGTGGTGAGGCTGATTTTTCTTCCCTGTGAAGAAAGCTCATATGCAACGTTTGCAAGGCCTGCATCAGGAGATCGAGATTGGAAAAAGGAGAAGTTGGGAAGGAGTCTGACAGATGCGCTGAAGCTTGTTTTGCTTATTGGTCTAGTTGTTACCGCATTTGGTCCAAGCTATTCATATTCCCTCATCAGATTGCTGTATGGTAGAAAATGGAGCGATGGAGAAGCTACCAAAGTACTTCAATGTTATTGCCTTTATGTGATAGTTTTGGCCATGAATGGGACGTTTGAAGCATTTCTACAGGCAGTTGCAACAAAGAAAGAACTTAAACAGTCAAATGGTTCATTGCTTGCCTTCCCATTGATATATGTGATCATTAACGTCTTGCTTATCAGATCAGCAGGCGCAATTGGATTGATTTTAGCAAACTCTGTGCATATGATCTTGAGGATAGTTTACTCAGCGGTTTTCATCAAAAAGTATTTCAAGGAATCATCATCCTTTGCGTTTAGAGCTTGCTTGCCTGGAGGTTATGAATTTTTGTTGGTTTCAGGAGTAGCCACCTTCATAGTTGAAAAGATGTACCTTAACCGAGACAGCTTCTCGGCCACCTTTACCGTTCACTTCTCATTTGGTTTATTCTGTTTTCTTGTGGCCACTTTCATAATCTATCAAAAGGAGAGGCCTTTTATCGTGAAAATTATACGCTTCCGCGAACACGCTGATTGAATGTGCTAAAAAATTACATCTTGCTCAATAGGGTTTGTGAAAAGTTTTGCTCTATTTCAAGATCAAGGAATCATAAGCACTGAGGATTAAAAGGATATTATTGTCTAATGATGCGAGGATTACGAGCATTTCTGGTATACTATGCTTGCTACCAGATGTTCACCCCAAACTTTTTATAATTCATTTGCCTTCCACACAATTATGTCACGGAATTTGTACAACCATATGTTTTGTATTCAAACCTCTTGAGTGTTGAACCTATCTACTAAAGTAGATAATTTTTGTTTTTCAAAAAAAAAAAGTACTGGCTATTTAAGCCTTCATTTTCTTTAGTTTAATATACGTACGCTGCATTGCATCTACTCTAATCTCTTCATAGTTTTAGTTGACATTTAGTATCAGAGACTTATGGAATCTTTCCTTGGGCCGTTTAAATGTGTTTTCGTGAGAGTGAAACACAGATTTTAGATTGACCATCAACATGTAGGACAACAATGGAAATGGAAGTTTTCTAAATCAGTTGCGTATCTTTAAAGAGGTGAATTTTCATTTTCGGGGTCTGAAAATGAAAACTCTTTTTAAATCACAAGAGCTATGGAGCTGTGTGGAGAATGGCTTTGAAGATGAATATTTAGATGATGGCACTGAAGAAACAGATCAGACCTTAAGGGACAGAAGAAAAAAGGATGCAAAAGCTCTTTATATCATTCAACATTTATCTGGTTGATGCTGTGTTTCCACGCATTGGAGCAACTTTTACAGCAAAAGAAGCATGAAATATTCTTACTCAAGAATATGTAGGAGACAAGAAGGTAATCACTATGCGATTACAATCTTTGAGAAGAGAATTTGAAAACTTCCAAATGAAGAAAAAGGAGACTGTCCCAGACTACCTATCAAGAATGTCAACAATAGTCCATGCTTTCTGAATTGGATAGTTATTTATTGCTAATAACATGCACAATGTGGTTGTTTTCTACAAATAGTTCTGATTCTGAATGCATTTTGGGGATTGTTTTGATTGAAAAAATAAACTTTGGCCCTTAGCTTGGTCCAACTTGTTTTAGAGGGAGGGGAGAAAAGTGTAGTGATGGCCTAGTGGGTCTTGTTTGGTCGAGCAGCTTTAGAGAGGAGGGGAGGAAAGTCTAGTAATGGGTGGCTAATGTGTTGGGTTGGGAGAGTCAGGGGAGGGCATGAAGGAAAATAGATGAGCTAAAAAGCACCTCAAAACTCCTGATATATGGCTCCCCAAATTTAGGGATTTCGGAGTTAATATAGTTTTCCTTTTAACTCTTACCCTTTTTAATCCTCAGCTAGTAAGCTATTCCATATTATTATTATTATTATTATTATTATTATTATTATTATTATTATTATTATTATTATTATTATTATTATTATTATTATTATTATTATTATTATTATTATTATTATTATTATTATTATTATTATTATTATTATTATTATTATTATTATTATTATTATTATTATTATTATTATTATTATTATTATTATTATTATTATTATTATTATTATTATTATTATTATTATTATTATTATTATTATTATTATTATTATTATTATTATTATGCCTGTTGATTGATATATTTTTACTTGCAACAAAAATATCATCAAATAATAAAATACAATATTTTGACATGTTTATTTCAAATAGTAGTTTCTCACCCTCAGGGGCGGATCTAGCATTAGCATTCAGGTGGGGCCAAAATTTAATAAAATACATATATTGTAAAAAGGAGTCAAAATGTAGTAAGAGACATTTTGACTTCATGTATATTTAATAAAACTTATTTTCAAGTATAAATTGATATTTGTTGCAACATAAATGTCAAAGACATAAATAAATACTTCGTATTACGGAGTACAAGAATAAGAATTTTGTCAAAGTGAAATAAAAAACACCTCAAATTTACACCTTTTTTTAGAAATCTTAATAGACTGATATTGTAAAGTTAGAAGTAAACGTAAAAGGGAAAACTGTCAAATAGGCCCTCGAACTTTCATAAAAAGGTCAATTAAGTCCTTCTATAGGAGGTTCTGTCCGGCCGTCGCGATTTGGGGCAGTTCCCGGTGGAATTTTTTGATGAAATTTTTTGAGCATCTTATTCACCAAGTCTAGTTTACTCATACCAAATTTTAGCTAAACATTCAATCGGAAACATATTCAAATTAATTCTTGAAGACAACTGCACATTTTTGCGTTCTCGAATTAATTTGAATGCGCTACCGATTACATTTTTAGCTGAAATTTGGTATGAGTAAACTAGACTTGATGAATAAGATTCTCAAAAAGTTTCATCAAAAAATTCCACCGGGAACCGCCCCAAATCGCGACGACCGGACAGAGTCTTCTATAGGACTTAATTGATTTTTTTATGAAAGTTCGAGGACCTATTTGACAGTTTTTCCAACGTAAAAATTAGAATTATATAAAGGCATAAAAACGTAAACCTAAAAGCTGAAAAAGTGAAAGTATAGAGAATAAAGTATTAAAGGCAATAAAGCCATTATAACCCTCCAAAATTTATTTATTTAATTTTTTGGGTCATTTATTTAATTTTTTGGGCTTAAGAGACTAGAATTCCAAAATTCTAGACATAAAAAAAAACCTGCTGTCCGCACGATTTGAACCCATGTCTACAGGCAGAGGGCAGTTCGCAGGTCTGAACCATCTCAGCTACACGGCTTCGTTGTTTTTATTTGATTCTCGTTGTTATTATTCCTATCCCACAACAATATACTCCCTCCGTCCCTGAAAATTGTTCTCGGTTTCCTTTTTGGGCCGTCCCAAAAAATTGTTCCACTTTCCCCTTTTGGAAAGTTTTTTGTGGCTACAATTCATTTACCTTTTTCTTACTCAACCACAACCATACATTTCCACTTTATTCCCACTTTCTTAAACTCCGTTCCAAGTCAATGCGGGAACAATTTTCCAGGACGGAGGGAGTATATATATATATATATATATATATAGAGGAATGTTCAGGTCCGAACATTCCTGGTCCGAACACCGTCCGAACATCCCCATTTGGGGCCCTTCCCGGTGTAATTTTTTGATGAAATTTTTTGAGCATGTTCCTCATCAAGTCGAGTTTATCCATACCAAATTGCAGCTCAAAATTCGATCGGGAAGGCATTCAAATCATTTTTTGATGTTGACTGCGTCAAAACATACATATAAAAATGCAGTCAACTTCAAAAAATGATTTGAATGCCTTTCCGATCGAATTTTGAGCTGAAATTTGGTATGGACAAACTAGACCTGATGAGGAACATGCTCAAAAAATGTCATAAAAAAATTCCACCGGGCAGGGCACCAAACGGGGATGTTTGGACGGAGGATCCTGTCCGAACGTTCGGACAGGATCATTTTTGTATATATATATATATATATATATATACTAGCAATTTTTTTTATTTTTGAGGTTGGGCCTAGGCCCTCACTGGTCCTAAGGTAGATCCGTCCCTGGATGGATGAAAAGGTGATGAACTACCCAATGCCACATTTTTAAATTACTTTTGATTTTATTTTATCTATGAAAACATATGAAAATATGCTTCACTTTTACACTATAGAGTTTTCAATCTTAAAAGAAACAGTTTTTAATTACTTTTGATTCTATTTTATCTGTCTTTTCATTGAATCTATCTTCCATTGTGTACATTCCTTCTATACAGTAGACTGCTTCCCAGTTTTGTAGTGCCGGGAAAAACTGAGTATTAACTCCAGTAAAATTAAAGCTTCGGGAACATTAGTCAAATTAAAAAATTGAAACTTCAGGGAAAAGTATTCAAAAGAGGAGGATTACAGCTAAACTTACAAATCCTTCTGCGCATTCTGAATGCGCATTTGCTCCCCCCTTTTAGTAATGTACATCCAAGGGGGAGTGTTATGTAAGTATGGATGTCCATTAATCTCCGCTCCCATATGTACTGACTCATCTCATTGGTGTAACCCTAGCTCCTCTCCTTTATATATATATACATCCTTATATGTGAATGAAAGCACCCTTTGATCTGTTTCAAAATATGTCATAATTTCTTTTAATAATACCTTGGTGATTTTATTTTGAAATTGTAGCTGGCCCAACACAAATTTGAACAAATATTAAATGTAGCGTGCAATTATAGAATACACATTATTGTATTACTTAGTGGGTTCAATTCCTTGAACATTATTTATTTGAACAATGGCATATTTGGAGGCAGTGGGGTAGGCATAGGTCGATATAAGAAACATTTTAGGAATTTTTTCACATGACTTTTTTTAATAATTTACACAATCGAAAATTGGGCCTAGGTTGGCCCCAACTATATATGCTCATGTCGCCGGTGGGCGTAGTTTAGGGGGTGACACAAGGGATAGGTCTCAGGTTCAAATCTCGACAACTGCAATGAGATGTTACAATGTAAAAGTGAATATAATCTCTGCAAGCAACATATCAAGTGTCTCACTCGCTTTTTATGTAAAGTCTGATTTATAACCTTTACAACTAACATAAAAAGTGTCTCACTCTCTTTTTAGTTATCTGGACATAGAGAACATAAGACATAAAACATCAAAACTTAAGCAGCATCTCGGATCATGGCGGTGACGTGCAAGACCAAGACGTCTTCTCTCTCCTCCCAGGGAAAAAATTCACAGACTAATCTATCATTTATGTCCACGAGATTCCGTCGGCATAGACTCATCCAACCCTCGGTCACCCATGTTCGCCCATCACCCCAAACATTTGTCTTCGTTTTCCATTCTCTTGCTTTCGAGTCAAACATGATTATAGATGGAGGCAATGTCATATCATTGATCACATCCATTGGTATGTACTACAAACATTTAATGTTATTGTTATTTTTATTTAGTGAAAACACTAGTAAAGTCTATTACTCATTTTTTATATCAAATGTTGGGAATTTACCGAGTAATTGCGCTTTCCTTGATGAATTCTTGTCACAAAATTAGGGTTTGGTGGTTGAGCATAACGCCGAGACTTTAAAAATATCAAGTCCATAGTGCTTGGGAATATCCTTAATTTCGACCTTTGACTTTCTCTCCCCAGCACAACCATTTCTCCTTTGCCGTCTCCATATATAATCAAATGAAAATTCCACAAATAAAACTACAAAAATACAGGCTCGACAAGTAAAAAAGAAGAAATACGAGCTGTTTGTATGTGTTATGTCTCTTGAAACGTACTTCGAATGTGGAACATCGGGCGTATCTGATGCTACCACCTTCTTCTCTTCATCTATCCCGTTACCACCATGATCACCACCAACCTCCATGTCAGTTTCTTTCTTAATTTTTTGAATGATAGAAGTGTTGCTTGAATGTACCGGAAGAGTTTTCGGTGCCTTTCCCGTGTCTTTTATTTGTATCCATTTTGTGACACCGATATTCACATTTGACGTTCAAAAAATTGTCAAAATATTTAGTATGAAGGTCAATGCGTTTTGACTTTTTGGTATTTGACAATGAGTCAAATGTGAAGATCGCTGTCACGAAAAGGATGCAAAACGAAAACTCTTCCGGTGGATTCAAGGAACACTTCTATCATTCAAAAAATTAAGAAAGAAACTGACATGGAGGTTGGTGGTGATCATGGTGGTAACGGGATAGATGAAGAGAAGGAGGCGGTAGCATCAGATACGCCCGAGGTTCCACATTCGAAGCACGTTTAAAGGGAAAGAACACACATACAAACAGCTCGTATTTCTTCTTTTTTTACTTGTCGAGCCTGTATTTTTGTAATTTTATTTATGAAATTTTCATTTGATTATATATGGAGACGACAAAGGAGAAATGGTTGTGCTGGGGAGAGGAAGTCAAAGGTCGAAATTAAGAGTGTTCCCGAACACTATGGACTTTGATATTTTTAAGTCTGGGCGTTATGCTCAACCACCAAACCCTTATTTTGTGATAAGAATTCATCGAGGAAAGCGCAATTACTCGGTAAATTCCCAACATTTGATATAAAAATGATTAACAGACTTTTATGATGTTTTCACTAAATAAAAATAACAATAACATTACATGTTTGTAGTGCATACCAATGGATGTGATCAATGATATGACA